AATGATTGGCTTGAAAAGGGGAAGGTACTGGTAATATGCCCCCATTTGTTCATATATTGGTTATATATGTGAAAAGTTGTTTTATTTAAAAAGTTTTGGTGATTACCACCCTGTAATAACTTAAATAGGGTAACTCACTAGACCTTTCGGTCTAACCCTCATTTTGTGATTTTAGCTATGTATTGCAGGAGGTACGAACGATAAAGGGAAGGGGGAAATGTGATATTTTCCTAAATGCTTATCTACATGAAGATTTGTTTATAATGTATAGTTTTGATTGATGTTCGATGATTAGTACAACAAATGTATTTTGAATTTTTGGGACATGTATTCTGTATGGAAAGTTTTTGTACTAAGGGACCTAAGTGGTGTATAAACATGTATTTCTTCTGTATGAAGTATGTGTTACATACAATGTGTGGTATGGGGTGTTACAGAAAGTAGTATCAGAGCTTGAGTTTAAGAGATTTAGGTATTTAACAACATGATACCTAGACTTAAACTGTTTTGTTGTATGTTAAGGGTCCCGGACATAGTTAGCATCATTGGAAATAAATATGATGGGTTGAAAGAATAGTATGTAAGGTAAATTTTAATTACATCTGTCCAGTGTAATTATGAATTTACAGGTACACATCTGAACTTAAATACTTCATTATATTTGGGAATGTGGATACCTGATTATTAACACTAAACTCTGCAGATGTCTAGCCGAACTAGAAGATCTGAAAGAACGGCTCGTCCAGAGTCTGAAGAAAGGGAAGATTCACCTGTTAATCTCCCTACTGGCACATATGAAATCAGAGGCCGGGGAATACCAAGGGGACGAGGCAAAGGAAGAAGTCACTCTAAAGGAAGGGGTCGTACTGAAATTCATTCTGAACCTGAGGAATCCCATTCTGGGAATGTTCAGGAGAGATCGGTGAATATGTAACTAGGGACACGTTGACAGAAGAGATGGGGAAATTGCGAGAAACTCTGACTTCTATTATGGGAATACCAGCCAGGGTAGAAACAGAAAGAGTAGAAGTTCATCCCTCGGTACCGGTTACTCACAACAAGGAGGAAGATATTAAAATGTTTTTGGCATGTAAGCCACCAACATTTTCTGGAGAAAGGGATCCAGTGAAAGCCGTGTGCTGGATCAAGGAAATGGAATCTGTGTTCAACACCATTCGGTGTCCAGAAAAAAATAAAGTTCATTTGTTGTTTCCGTGTTAAAATCAAATGTTTTGTTCTGGTGGGAAGTTGAATCGTCGGCCATAACAGATGTTTTACAATCATTATCTTGGATAGTATACGTGGACCGATTCAAGAATCAGTTTTGTCCTAAAACCGCTGTTAGACAAATGGAAGAAGATTTTCTAAAGTTGAAACAAGGAAATGAAACAGTTCGGGAGTATACCGAAAGATTTATTGAATACTCTCGATTTGCTGAACACTATGTTTCAACAGAATCCAGGGAAATAGAAAGGTACATTTGGGGTTTGAAACCCTCAATCAGAGAATTTGTTATTGCTATGAACCCTAATACCTTTTCGTTAACGGTAGATGCGGTCGAAGTGACCGAACGAAATAAGAATCGGCAGCCAGAAGGAAAAGTTATAGAGAAAAGAAAGTGGGAGGGTCCTTCACCTTTTCAAGAGCCGAAAACTGTAAGATATGATAACAAACCCGAGCAGAAGGTCGGTGAGAAAGTTTGCACACAATGCCGACAGATACATCAGGGTGAGTGTAAGACAGACCCAAGAAAGTGTTATAAGTGTGGTGAAGCAGGTCATCTATCCAGAAGTTGCCCAGCTAACCGAAGGTGTTTTAACTGCAATTCTCTGGATCACATTCGACCGAATTGTCCATTGTCAAGAACTCCACAGCTGACAATGGGGAGTCATGCGTCGGGTACTCGGGGAAGATATACTGTGAACAGAGGAGGGCAAGGAGGGGCGCGGGGACGGTCCTTCCAGATGACTAAGAACGAGACAGAAGCATCACCGAATGTAGTAACAGGTACATTCCTTCTGAATTCAATACGTGTTAAGATGTTATTTGACTCTGGTGCAAACTTTTCGTTTGTATCACCATTGTTTGCTCAAACTGCATGTCTGAATTTTGTGATACTTGATGATGAATTAGTAGTTGATACTGCTAATAGTCAGGAAACTGTTACTAGTGTGTTCAATAACTGTATTATTGTTATTGAGGGCTATGAACTCCCGATTCGGTTATTCCCTATGCCGATGAAGGAATTTGATATAGTGGTGGGTATGGACTGGTTGGCAAGGTATCAGACTAATATTGTTTGTAATCAGAAAATGATCAGAATTACTCTTCCAGACCAAGGAACATTTGTTAATTATGGTGATCGTCAGAATCACCATACGAGTATTTTGACAGTAATGAAAGCTCAGAAAAGTATTCGGAAAAGGTGCCAGGGATGTTTGGCATACGTAATTGATATGAAGAAAGAATTGAGAAAAGAGGAACCGATTCCGATTGTTAGTGAATATCCAGAAGTCTTTCCAGAAGACTTATTTGGATTACCACCAGACAGAGTCATTGAATTCCGAATTGATCTTGTACCAGGGGCTGCACCAGTAGCAAAGGCGTCATAACGGTTAGTTCCATCTGAATTGAAAGAACTGGTTGCACAGTTGAAAGATTTAACTGACAAATGATTTATTAGGCCCAACACTTCACCTTGGGGTGCTCCGGTCTTATCTGTCAAGAAGAAAGATGAGTTTATGCGAATGTGTATAGACTATCGTGAACTAAATAAGTTGACAATTAAAAACAAATATCTTTTACCAATGATTGATGACTTGTTCGACCAATTGGTGGGAGCAAGTTATTTCTCCAAGATTGATTTAAGGTCAGGGTATCATCAGCTCAAAGTCAGGGAAGAAGATGTTGCCACAACAACATTCAGAACTAGGTACGGGCATCACGAATTCTTAGTTATGCCATTCGATTTAACTAATGTGCCCGCAACCTTTATGGATTTGATGAATATGGTATGTAAGGAATATCTTGATAAATTTGTTATTGTATTTATCGATGATATTCTTATATATTCTAAGACTGAAGAAGAACATGCAAAACATCTTCGTCTGATATTAGAATTATTGAAGAAAGAAAAGCTGTACGCAAAGTTATCTAAATGTGAGTTCTGGTTAAGAGAAGTCCAATTCTTAGGTCACGTCATCTCAGAAGCAGGGGTAAATGTGTGGTTTGGGATGTTACATTTGGATATTTGGGGTAATAATATTGTTTTGACTCTTGAAAAAGGGAAATTGGGTTATAATTATCTTTAATTTTAAACAACTAATATTGATTTCTATAAACTGTAATAACCATTTAAAAAACATGCCTAATTGTATAACTAGTAAGGTAATCGTGTGATATTGTGGTGTACATCTCGATTTAAAGTCGAGAACTTAAAAAAACAATTATGAACCTGTTTGACAGTTGCTGAATGGTTTGGTAGAGAATGATTAAGTAATCAGAATGATTAAAAGGCTCTCATAATATAGTGTAAAATAAAATATAATTATTTGATAATCATTTACAATAAAATTAAGACAATTAATGATTAAGGGAATATAATATAAATAATGGGTATTTATTTAAGAGAACCCCAAAATTGTAGCTTTTAATTTTATTAATGATTAGTAATAATAAATGTATTATATAACAAAACTTTAAACACTGAAAATAACACGTGGCTTCTCCCTCATGCTCTCCTTCCCCCTTAAGTTTCATCTCTAACAATGGCACCGTATTGACCCTACATTTAGACCAAGTTGATAAATTACCCCCCTGTAATTTCTGTGGATTTCAAATATACCCCTTTAAGTTACTCACGGCTCACACAAACAACCGAAAGTGTACGATTAGTCCCTATGTTAATCCTTAAAAACATCGAGCATGAAATTATTTTAGAATGCCATTAAATTAACAAATTTATTTGTAATTTATATTAGATTATGTTTTATACATTATTTTTTATAGTTTTAATTATTTAAAGATAATTCTATATGCAATTTTTTTATATTAAAATCAAGTCAAATTATAGATTAAAAATATAAAAAATAAGTCCTATGATATATTTAATAAAAAAATTAGTAGATAAAATTATATTCTAAATGAACTCTATCGTCTTTTATAAATATCTAGATTATTTTTAATATGAAATTTATATATATTTACTTTTTTTTTTATTAACCTGAATATCCAACTCGCTATGTGAGCCGACTAATCGTAGGACAATCACCTGCTTTGCAGATAGTCCGGAGTCATCGCATTTGAACCTTCGTGGTCACAAGGGGATTTTTTTATTGCTTATTGGATTTAAACCTGGGACCTGCTGGTACTTTTGACCTTTGAAGTCAAGCTTAAACCAATAAGACACCACCCTTATTTATACACTTACTTTTTAACATATAAATAGAAAATATAAGAAGAGAGTTACGTTTTTTCATCTATTTTGCCAATTCATCCCATAAATAAGACGTATAGAAACAAAATATTTTGGGGAGTGAGATTACATTTGTACCCTTGGCTCACAAGTCTTGCATGAACAACCCCAGCAAAAAGAAACAGGATTTCTTAGGGTCATTTTGGTCCATAATGGCAAGAGAGGATCCTTCCCGTTTTGGGACATTGCAAGATTTGTATGACACATCTCTTCTTTTTGTTTATTCCCTCATATATGTATATGTATATAAATATTCAATCCCCAGAAAAGAAAGAAATTGCAGGAAATTTGAAACACAAAAAGTTGGGTGGATTTGATGTGAATATGACGTCTTTTTGAGAAAAAAACAGCAGCTTTGGGGTTAAAGATTAGTGTGGGTGTGAGAGAGAGAGAGAGAGAGAAGATAGAACCGCATCACGTTGCAGGGACGTCTGTCATATTGTGGTAAATCTTCACCGACTCAAACCCCTATCTATCTTTCTTGTTTAAATTCTAGTCTTTTAGGGTTTATGTTTGCTCAATTTCTTGCCCTTTTAATTTTTTGTTAATTTGGTTTTCGAAACAAAAACTCAAACATTCTATTGATAATTGGAGAAAACAACCTTGTATTTCTTCTTTTGGCGTTTAGATTAGACAGATATTACACTGTTTGATTTGATCTTAGATGGCGTATGATCAGAATGCGTTACCTAATAGTTTACGCCCAATTCATATAGCTAGAACGCTGGGTGAAGAATATCGCATTGTGGCTCCTGTAACCCTACCCACTAACAATCCCCTACCCCGTGAAGTGCCAAGCGTTACCCCTGCTACCATTCCGGTTTATCATCCTTCAACAACGCCTGTTGCTGCTGCTGCTGTTGCTGCTGCGGATGCAGGCTATGTGGGTTTGAATTGTGGAAATGTAGTTCCAGCAGTGGCTAATTGGTTGCCGCGTATGCCACCGCCGGTTACTTCTGGGATAGGTTTGGTACCTGGGTATGGGTATAGCACTAGTTTAGTCCCACGCGGTTATGATCCCAGTTTGGCACCGGTTGGTGGTGGTGGTGGTGGTAGTAATGCCTCTGATCATACCAGTGATGAAGGTGGAGATGATTCCGTTTCAGGGAGGAAAGTTAAGTTCTTGTGTAGTTATGGGGGTAAGATTTTGCCTAGACCTAGTGATGGAGTGCTACGATATGTTGGTGGGGATACTAGGATTATTAGTGTTAGGAGAGATGTGGGGTTCAATGAGTTGCTTCAGAAGATGTTTGATTCATATGGACGAAATGTTGTTATTAAGTATCAATTGCCTGAAGAGGATCTTGATGCACTTGTTACAGTTTCCAGACCGGATGATTTAGAGAATATGATGGACGAGTATGATAAGTTGGTTGAGAGATCTTCTGATGGTTCAGCTAAGCTGAGGGTGTTCTTATTTACGGAACTTGAATCTTCTAGTGTGATCCGGTTCAAGGATTTACAAGATAGTGGACAGAAATACGTGGAGGCAGTGAATGGAATTGGGGATGGTTTTGGTGGTAGTAGTGGTGGTGGTGGTGGTAGTAGTAGTGGTGCTGGTTTTGGCAGGAAGGGAAGCATAGCGAGCGCTTCCTCCACACAGAATTCAGAGTTGAGCGGGACTGAGGGCGGTGCTGATAGCATAGGACATGATCAGGGGGAGGTGAATGGCCCACCATCCGCTGGTTTGTTATCTCCTGGTGGCAGTTCTGCTAGCGGTGTTCCTGTTGCTAAATCTGTTACCGTTCCAGCTTCACCTTCTCAATCAGAGCATGAGTTGGAAATATCGGAAAGAATGATGCCTGTTCATGTACATCAACAGCGACAATTGGGCTATGATTTACAACAACCTGGAGCCACCATTCCTCCACCAGCACCTTATGTCCAGTCTTATGTTGATCCTCGCCATGGGACCTTCAACCGTACAGAGTACGTACAGGTGCCAGCAGCCCAAATGGGGTTCCCATCTCAGGTTATGGGGACTGTTGGCCCAGTATATTCCCAACCACAACTCTATGATAATGTCGTTGGAATGAACCCACATCAGTTTATTCCTCCTATGCACATGACATCTCCTTCCACGCATATCAGTTTCAAACCAAATCCAGTTCCCATTCCGGTTCCAGTTCCAGTTCCTCAACTTGTGCAGCAACAAGAGGTTCGAATGGAGCATTTTCCTGAGGTTGGGCAGAGGATTGTCCATCTTCCTAGTGATCAAAGCTACACTATGTATCAACATCAACCTCAACCTCAATCTCAATCTCAATCTCAATCTCAAATCCCTACTCCAGTAATTCCTGGACCTTATGGTTGGAATCCAGTTCCGTCCCCTGAACAAGTGCCCTTTTCTGAGGGCCGGGTACCCACTCAACAGTTATTATACCCAGAGACAGTGCCTAGATTTGATGGATGTATAATGTGTCAAAAAGCATTGCCCCATGCACATTCTGATCCTATGGCACATGAGCGTAGAGGAAGTCCTAGATCTACAGTATCTGACATGAATCCAGTTTATCAGAGTATGAGATTGGAGGATACCAGAAGAATCATGCAACCTAACAGGGTTCCTGCAAGTGGAGCCCTTGTGGACAGTAATTTGGAAATGCAAGGCGTTGGTGTTCGATCAAGATATGACGACCATGAAGCAGGGAGGCCTCAATTTGAGGGAGTGATGCCCTTATATGCAGTTCAAGGGCAATATGTAAATGATAGGACTATTTCTCAGAGAGCTGAAACTGGTGATCAAGCTATGGTATCGTCTCCCCTGAGTGTAGTAGGATTGGCTGGTGAGATGCAATCTCCATATGGTGTATTGCTCCATCCTGTTCCACATGCTGGCCATGAAAGTTTACTCCAACAATCTGCTGTTACGATGCAATCTCAAGCAAAACAGGAGACAGTGGTTAATACACGGGTTAGTGGTGATTCAAATTCTGCTGGAGTTCCCTCCCCAACTTCAGACAGCCAGGTTCATGAATCTCCAAGGGAGTATCCTGGTAATTTTCCTATAATTGTACCTAAAGAGGATAATGTGGAATCTGGCTTTACGTATGATAGTCTGATACAAATTGATGCGAGGATGAAAGACCTTCGAATACGCCCTCATGAAGTTCTTGTAAACAATGATCAGAGTAGCTTTCGTGTTGAAAATCCGCGAGAGGATGTCTTGGAAAATAGACCCATGGATATTGGTGGGAAGGAGCTGAACCTTGATAACCCTCTTGGTAAACCCCAAATGGTTCTTGATGCAAATTACATTACACAAAATGAAATGATGCCTTACTCCTCTGAGGTTCCACGGTTGCATGGCTTCCAACCAATGGAGTCATATGGAATGGCTCAACAACCTCTATATAGTAGTCCGGAGTATCCACATGCATCGGTTGCAATGGTTGGTAACGAAGGCAGTTCTGCATTTTCTGGTGTTGATTCAGCCCATATGACTGAAGGAAACTCACCTGTTAGTGAATGGAATGTATACCCTTTACAGTTTGATCGAAAAAGTGATGTGGAGCCTGAGCTAATGGATTCCCTCAATCCATTTAATGGGTCCGATGAAACCCAAGATGGCACAAGCTCACTCTTCAGCAACCAGGATCCTTGGATGTTGCGGCATGATTCCCATTTTCCCCCACCTCGACCCAACAAATTTCTGACGAAAAAAGAAGCTGTTGCTAAGGAAGCTTTTGTTGACAATCGTCTTGGCCACAGTGGAGAATCACCTACAGGAGACATGTCGGTGGATGATGGAGCTTACCAGCCAAATGCTAATTTGGACTTGAATTTCAGTGTGGAAGATGGTCATTCTAATATAGGTCTGTATCCCATTTTTGTTTTAGCCCATACGTTTTTCTTCCTCTGTTTCCGTGTCTGACAGGTTATCTTTACTCTTATCGATCATTCTTCTCCTGTTTCATAGGTTCCGCTGAGGAGTTGATCAAACAAGAACTTCAGGCGGTTGCTGAGGGTGTGGCTGCTTCTGTGCTTCATTCATCAACACCCTCTAATCCTGATTCAAGTAGACATGGAAGGAGCGAACATGCCTTGGAATCCAACCAAAGTGGTGAAGCTCAGAATAGTAATGCAGACGTGCAGCCAGGAGACAAAGTTGAGGTCCTTTGATTGTATATTCTTTTGTTGTTGGCCAGGGACATCACTCCCTACATTTTTTGGAGTTCCTTCTTCCATCCCATCCCGTCTTGCTTTCATTTCATCTCTGTACATAATTGTGTTCTATTCGTACAGGATCTGAAAACAAAACTTCCAGAAAAGACAAATCTTGGGTTTCCGGTTTCAGATGGCCTTGGTCGTTTGCAGGTGTATATTTGGTCTTATCTGTTGTCCACTGTTACAGTGTTATAAGCTAATGAATTGTTCTTGCTTTGCCTTGTAGATAATAAAGAACAGTGACCTTGAAGAGCTTCGTGAACTGGGTTCTGGTACGTTTGGAACTGTTTACCATGGAAAGTGGAGAGGATCTGATGTTGCGATCAAACGAATAAATGATAGATGTTTTGCTGGGAAAGCTTCAGAACAAGAGCGCATGGTATGTGTTCTCATCAGCTAATATTATTTGCATTTTTTTTGCTGATACGCATCCATCCAATAAATTCTTGTTACTTCCAGAGGGAGGACTTCTGGAATGAGGCAATCAAGCTTGCGGATCTTCATCATCCAAATGTTGTAGCTTTTTATGGGGTTGTACTTGACGGTCCTGGTGGCTCTATTGCTACTGTAACTGAGTACATGGTTAATGGCTCTCTTAGAACTGCTTTGCAAAAGAACGAGAGGTAACACCAACAACTGCCTGAATATAAGATTCTTTTCAATAAGCAAATGATAGATCCAAATAATGATACTTACACGATTATCATCAGGAATCTGGATAAGCGTAAACGTCTGCTAATTGCCATGGATGTTGCCTTTGGGATGGAATACCTTCATGGAAAAAACATCGTACACTTTGATTTAAAGAGTGACAACTTACTTGTCAATCTCCGTGATCCACACCGTCCAATATGCAAGGTTGGTTGTACTTTCATAACTATCTTACTATACGTGTTACTGTTTGCAGAAATGTTGATAAATATATTCATTGCAATAGTTTTGTTGTTGGTTTTGAGACTTAAGGCTCTCCACCGTATGCATAGTTACACTTTGTGCATGCAATATTTTCGTACTACAAAGGGTGATAATTATTGTGCTAATCTCATGGTGATAATTATGATGTTACTCCAGCAAGATTTTTTTTTGATATTTTGGCAATAAATACCCCATGATGATGTTAAATAGAGATGATCGACTCAACTGGGGTCTTACAATACTATGACATGACAGATTTGTTTTGATATAGAACTATATTTTATAGTGGGCTTGCGATAACATTCATACACTTTCGAAGTTGTCAAGTTGAAAAATGCATGTAGCTTCCTAATAGCTTACAGATTCATGTATGGCAGTTGTTTGAAGGTTTTTACATTGAGATTTTAGTACATATTAGATGTAAAGATACTTTTTGAACCATCAAATCATACTTGACCTTTTGTTGTAAATTAACCATCTTCCTTGGGAGATTGCCAGAAAGCACTACTTTGCAAGTATGAACAGTTTTGGAGAAATTGTGAAAATGTAAGGGTGCTTTGGTACACAGACTGGATGGACAGGACGGGACAAAATAAATAGTCCCATGTTTGGCATGGCATGGATGGAACACGGACAAGGTAGGACGAGGTTGGACTAAAACCCATTTTCGTGGGACTAAAACCCATTTTCGTGGGACAAAATCGGCCCTTTTTTGTTTTGGATTAAACTTAAAAAGACTTATTTACCCTCCACACAATACGAAAATCTGAAACCTAAAACCAAGAAACAGAATAAGATTGAACTTTGCCAAATCAATCTCCTCCAAATCAACTCGGATCGAACTCCTCCAAATCCATCGAACTCTCCCTTCCTCCAAATCCTCCTGCAAATCGATTGAACTCTCAAATTGAACCTCTCGCTCCTCGACGTCTAGATCTGTGTTTGAAGATTGATGAGTAGGAAGATGGGTGGTGGTGGAAGACGAGAAAAAGGAAGACAGGTAGTGGTGGTAGTGACTTGAAAAGAACCTGGTTTTTTTAGGGAACACGCCACATGGGGAAAGAAAACCTGGGTTTTGACTTTTGATATGGAAGGGGTGGGGGCTTATTTAATATATTTTTAGTTTTTTAAGTGGTTTGCAAACATGTTTTAAATAATTCTAGATTAATAGAATTATAATTGTATGATTTATGTAATATAATCTAATTTTTATGAGTAAAATTATTTAAATATTTAGCTGATTTGTGTCATTTATAATTATTATATAATAAAAAAAGTTAAACATCTTAGGGGCAATCTGGTCATTTTGACAGTTTGTTCTGTCCTGTCCATTTTACCAAACGCAAGACAGAGTTACTCCAGTCCCATTGTAGTCATACCAAATGCAGAACGGATCATTAGTCCTGTGCAGTCCAGTTCTATCATTTCTTGTATCGTCCCATCCAGTTTGCCTACCAAACGTTGCCCAAGTGCAAAGAAAACAATCATACTTGAACCTTTTTGGTCCAGAATTGCTTATTTTTACAAAGGGTAGCGTTCTTTTTGCATTTTTGGAACAACTACGTGTCATATATCGAGAAGGAACAAAAGTAACTTCTCTGACATTCGAGAGCCTAAGATCTCTCATGAGGTGTGAGTAACTGTTTACAAGTCATACCCTCCCTATTCACCACATCTCTATTTATATACTAATGCCCACTTGGCCACTTGTACCACTGACCAGATTCTTAGAACAGATTGTTAAAAATGCCCCGACCCCACACACTAGTTTTTGTTTGACCATTCTAGAATACACCCGAGTATAGGTGGCTTATAACAACAATGGATTCTTTGCAACAAAATGAACTTTCTTGGGTGGTGTTGCTGCTCTTTTTAACTGCGCAGTTACATGAGGGAGAATGAAAGAATGGAATGAATCCAGTGTGATATAGTTTTCAATCACTTATACTTAGGGGCCAGACGCTTACCTGGGTAAGCGCTTGCTGATAAAATTCAACACTATCACTTACTTACCGGGTAAGATTTTAGTCCACCAACAGGGTATCGTGTGCAACAATTTACCCAGTAAGCTAACCGTGGTATGAGTCGTCATTCTCACTTACGGGGTAAGACTCTCAATCCTTGCCTTCGCTCTTACCGGGTAAGATGCTTGGTTCTTACCATATTCATATGGTAAGGTAATGTGACTTGGTAAGCGCTTACCCCGGTAAGCGTTTGATGAACGGCCCCTTAGGCAAGTCGAGGATAGTGTCTTTGGTGGTTGGCTCCAGGGAGCTAGTCGGTTCCTGGCCTTTGATTATGGGCTCTGTTGATTGGTCTCACTTCCCATAGGCTACATTGAACTTAGCATAAGCACTGATACGAGGTCTATCAATTGACGCTTAAATGTGTATGTGGAGTCTTTCTTTTAGAACATAATTGCAAAAAAGATGATGGTCATAATAAAATGCAGTAAGATTTTTTTTTTGGTATTTAGAAGTAACAGTAAAAAACTATATGGTTCTCATTTGAAACCAATGCATGCAACAATTATACTTCTAGTTGGCTGGCAAGGGTATTTTTACTACTGCAAAACATGTGATGTCATCGTTTTTCTTGGGAGGGGGGGAGTGCACTTATAAATTCGAACCGGCGTTACTGAAGTAATCCAAAATGCAAGGGGTCTTGCTGAAGTGATGCCATAATGTAGGGGTCTTCATATCATTTGCTGCAATTAAGGAGATATGGTGACTAAAAGGGTGTTTGCCAACACAAATTGGATAGGCGCTAACAGGGCAAGATTGCGGTCTGGGTAAACATTGATTGAAAATGGTTGTACCAAGTGTTTTGGAGTACCTTTTTATCATTCTTGTGCTGATCCGGTAGGTGAAAATAATGATGCTGACCAGGCGTCAGCCAGATCAGTCTTTAGGTGAACTAGTTGATGCCGACCGAATCAGCACCGGTCTGCAGTAGGTAAAAAGGCCCTAAGAGAGTTGCTTTCTGTTGAGTGAGTCAATATCAGTTGGTGCCCTTTTTGTATAATGATGCCTTCTTGATCACCACTCTAGTATCGGTTCGAGCAGTAAGATGACACCTGTTTTGCTTGCCATAGTTGCCACAGCTAAAATCTGGGGTATTTGTGATCCTTGTAATAGTTGCCACCCCTTTTGAGAGTTCCATTCGTTTGTTTCTTAAAATTTTAGTTTACTTGGACAGTCGGACTCGCGAATAAGTGAGTAGGCAATCTTGAAAAAGGTATCTCCTTTTACCCGACATTGCTAAGAAGGAAAAGTTTGGTTAATATGATTGATGATGTGAAAATGGCAGAAAGAAAGGAAATTTGTGGTAGAAGAAAACGATGTTTGAATAATGTTGGTTATCTGATTCAGGGTTGATAAAGCAGTTCCCATTTTGATGTGTTATCAGGTTGGAGACTTGGGTTTATCCAAAGTGAAGCGTCAAACGCTAATCTCAGGTGGTGTGCGTGGAACACTTCCATGGATGGCACCAGAGCTCCTAAATGGCAGCAGTAGCCTTGTTTCGGAGAAGGTTTGTCCCTGAGCTTCAACGTCATGGATTTCATCTCGATCACTGAGCTAATGTTTCCATTTCCCTTTCAGGTTGATGTATTCTCATTTGGCATCGTCATGTGGGAACTTCTTACTGGAGATGAACCATATGCAGACTTGCATTATGGGGCTATCATTGGTAATTCACACAAAATATAGTTGTACACATCTGTATCTAAGCATGTAGGCATATATATGTGTGTGTGTGTTTAATTTGTGAAAAATATTTTAAGGTGGGATTGTGAGCAACACACTACGACCTGCGGTGCCAGAATCGTGTGATCCAGAATGGAGAATATTGATGGAGAGGTGCTGGTGTGCAGAGCCATCAGAGAGGCCAAGCTTCACGGAGGTAGCGAACCAGTTGCGAACCATAACCTCAAAGGTGCCACCAAAAGTACAAGCATATCAGTAGGTGGGGGTGGTTTTCAAAATACATACACAAGTTTAGTAGCTGTTTTTATAAGTCTCGTGCGCATATCGGGTATTTACCGATGGTATATCTACTACAGAGAATGTATTTCTGCTAAAATAGAACAGAGTTGCTGCTGTTTTGCCATCACACACACACACACCCCCATGTTAGGAATCAACATGTTATGCGAATGTGGGTTTTGCATTTGGGCAAATAAGAAAGTTGATTTTTTTAATTAACCTGGATATCCAACCCGCTATGCGAGCCGACTAATCCCAGGGCGATTACCTGCTTTGTAGATAGCTCGGAGTCATCGCATTTGAAACTCCATGATCACAAGGGGATTTTTATTCCTCCGTGGTGTTTTAGAGTTTTTATTTTGCCAAAGCATACCATGTGGTTTTGAATTATGAAATGATGATTCAAAACACATGGCAGACACCCCTGGAAGCATTTATGTAGTGAAATTTTTATTAATAAGTTGTTTTTCCATTTAGGGGTGTTTGGGATTGCTTATTTGAAACAGCTTATGCTTTTCTATAAAAGTCCTTATCAACTTATTATAAATTTGAATGATTTACTTTTTTAAAAACTTATTATTATCGGTTTGACATCGTTATAAATTGTTTATCCAAAACTCAAAAGTGTTTATTACCGTTGTCAAACCGAAATAAGTCAATAAGTTGTTTTTATAAGTAATCCCAAACATCCTGGAAATATTTTAAAAAGAATGGCACCCAAATTTTGGTGTTTGTTTTTGGGTTGGAGTAGGAAAGATGACACTTGACCGTTAAGGGAGCGTCTATATTAATATCCTATATTTTACCGTTACAGTTGGAGACAATAAACAATTAATCTCTTTTTTATATATAATTATTTCAATTTACTTTTAAAAAATGCGTATTAAAAATAAAAACTAATAAAATATTTACTTTTTTTTAAAGAAGAAATTGTTGGAGATGCTATCTATACTTATATTATAAAGCATTTGACATAATTTCTTAAAAGTAATTTTTTAAGCATTATGTATTGTTATATAATGCTAATTTACTTAATTTTCAAGATTACAAGTAAGTTGTGCATAAGAATAACTTATTAAAGTTTCATGTTTGAATTCATGTAACTAATTGCAGATAAACATAATTAAATAGAAGATAAATATCTCATTTTAAATATAAAAAATCCAAAATATAAATAGGATAATCATTGAGTTTTAACAAAATATTTAATAATTATCTTTATAAAAAATTATATTATTAAACTAAAAATAATAAAAAATTAAATTAAAGAAAAATACATAGAAAATTTTAATATTTAGTTTGGTATTAATATCAATATTTTTTTATAATTTTTTATGATATATCTTTATATTTTTATTTTATTTAAAAATAAAAACATTATTGTTTTTCAAAATCACATCAAACCGTATTATAACATCGACCGCATTGTACGAGTAAATTGGATCTAAAATAAAATCAAACATTCAATTTCTTCTTAAAGTGTTTCCTTAGAGCTTCGTATGTCAACTTGCTAAGAACTTTGACTTTTTCTTCCACTCCGTAGTTATCCTTTCCGTTTCTTTTCCATTTGACTATTTTACCCCTCCTTCTCTCACACACAAAATCCACACGCATTCCAACACTATAAAATACACACATCTTCTTTCTCTGTGTTTCAAAACCATCATCTGAAAACAAATGGCCAAACCACAACAACTACAAGCTGTCAACACCACGCCAGTTATCATGGAGCATCAACAGGAAGGCAGAGACGACGACGAAGATGCAGTTTCCGGCGGCTGTTTCCGCCTCTTTTGCTGTTTCGACACTCACCACGACGGAGAAACGGCGGGGTTTCTACACCACCAGTCCGGAGATCTAATCGCCCAAGACACTTGGTTCATGAAACGTGCCAAGAGCTTGAAGGAATTTTCGGAGGTTGTTGCAGGTCCTAAGTGGAAAAACTTCATCAGAAGGTTCAGTAAGAGGCCGAAGACGAGATCTAATGCTAATACGCCATTTCAGTACGATCCTCAAAGCTATGCTCTTAATTTCAACGATCACGAAGACGATGATTTGTTACCTCGTAGTTTCTCTACACGATATGCTCCTCCTTCCCGATCTACACAACTATAATCCTTCATTCATATTCGATTCATTGTTTTTCCCCCAAATTTCTATCAAATTCCATATACAATATATATATACTCTTGTTTTCTTCGTGAATTGGTACCTTTTGTAAATCGTATGTGAATGAGTCAATTCCAGGTGCTAATTGATTGCATCGTATTAGATTCTCAGCAAATACTTGTAAATCCAGAAAAAAAGTTTGGCCTCAAAATTGACACGTCAAGCACAAATTCTGCTACAAGACATTTGGAATCCCTTATCCGAGCCAATCACCCAATATGGTAAATATCTTATAATAACAATCGAACAAGATTCTACATATTTGAGACTTCCAATATTCTTGACTCTACATTTCTTGTGTTCTTGAATGTGACTTGATTGTATCTGCAATTGGTATAAGAGCAAATTCAGAAAAAGATTGAACTATTGGGAATCAACTCAGATTAGTTTTTGGATAGAGTTCGACAGTTACAAAAGTTCTTGAATTGTTTTGTTCAATTTTGATCAAATTGACTGATTTTGATCTGTTTTTGACAAAATTGTATTCATAAAACTTGTTTAGAATGTATTTTCGAGCATATATGTACTAGTTTGGAGATTTGTAGATTTTTGTCAAAAAATTTCAAGTTTCCTGTCAGATCTGAAGATATCGTTGGTTGAGTATTGACTTGCCCGATATTCGTGAAGAACATCGCTAATTGAAGATTGGTTGAAGCTTGTCCGATTTCTTGAAAATATCGGTCACTATGTGAGCGGTATTTGATAATATCGCTTAAGACAAACGATTTATGTGAGTTAAAAATATCTCTGAAATGTGTAACCGGTTTTTGTGTATGTCGCTGAAGACTCAAACGATAACTGTTATTTCTATGTTAACTTTCAAGTTTGACTTTCCAAAATTCTTTTGGTAATTTTCATCTTGTAAAACTATCAGGAAATTACTCATTAGATCTTATGATCTAACCCTCGTTTTCTTTTCAAAAATGTGTTTTACAGGTCAGATGTATCCCGAAGGTAAAGAGAATAGAAAGATGTAATTGTAAGTGTTTATATCTTTTCCGATTACATGTTGAACTTGAATTTTATGAAAACTGTGCATTACAAACATATTTACAAGTCATGTAAATTTAAGTAAAAATTATTTTGTATTTTTCAAAAAAAACAAAACAACCTGAAATTTCAAGTGAAATTAAAACATAACAAATTCCTGGTAAATTGACCGTTGAAACATCCTGAATTCAAAGATGGCAGGCGTGAATAGGTGACGTTAGTGGAGATGGAGAGCATAAAAAACGCATTTTCCAAGTTTTTATTTATTTATTTAATTAATTAATTAAAGTGACAGATGGGATCCAGATATTTCTTTACTAACGGATACATCAACTTGTATCTCTGCCTAATTTTATATATTAATATATTGCAATTTTGGTCCCTGTGGTTTGTTATTTTTCTCGAATTGGATTATATAAAAAATTTATTGCAACAAATTTTATTGTATGCTAAATCGTTTGGTTTGATCCCTAAGACTAACCCCGTTAGATTTCTACCATTAAACCTCTTATGCGACTTGCACACACTTTTCTTTTATCCTTTCAACCTTAAAAGGCTTATCCTCTTTCTCTCTACAACCAATCTCCATCCCGCAACCAAAACCATGACACTTCTCCCCCTCCCCCTTCCCCTTCACGTCTCTGACCCCTGCACACGCACCATTCCTGACAACCTATCTTCTCTGGTGAGCTCACCACCCACTTCCATTTTCTAGTTCGTTGTCTTCTCCAGAAACGCAAACTCGAAACCAAAAGTCATGTTGCCTTTAGTATTGGCTGTCGATAATCACGATTCCCGCACATCTATATTAGCTCCCCCCCTCACTAAGTGGAATACCATTGCACAAAACTATCTTTGTTTTTTCTTATATGTTTTGATCGATGTACTTTTAGTTTCAAATTGATGTTTATTTAGATTGAGGTTGGAACGTGGTGGTTGATCTGAATCCGTTTACGGTTTGTATCCCCCCTGTCCCGGTTATGCAATAGATGAAATAAATAAATAAAATGGAGGTTTTCTTGCAATAAAATTCTTAGGGACCCAATTCAAAAGAACAACTAATAATTGGAACCATAATTGCAACTTACTCTATATAATTTAAAGATTGAATTACATTTTCAGTCCCTATGGTTTATAACAAATTATGGATATCATTCCCTAAAGTAAAATAATTACACTCATTGTCCCTATGGTTTGTATTTTCTTACGAGAGTGGTCACCTTCCCTAACATCGTTAAATCTACTCAGTTAAGTTGAAAGGCATTCTGGACTTTTATCTTTCCCACTCAATTTCTATTTAACGATTACACATATTGAGCCCTCCTAAATAATAAGGCTCTCAATCTCCAAACGAACTCATTTTCTTTAATAGCTTCACCACTGCCACCTGTGCCCCCGTTTCTGATGTTGTCTCCCTTAGCGGATCAACTTCACCACCGCCTCCCACGCATCCCCCCCCCTATCTCTCTCTCTCGATTGTTGATTTAATCAATACATGTGATGAAATTGTTGCATTTGTAATAAGATGGATCACCAACAAGGGTGAACCTTTGGTAATCTTCCAAAAGGTCGGGGAAGGGGGGGATGCGGCCGCATAAGCATCATGTAATTATGTTGACCTCCCTACCAGCGGCCTATCTCCGACCTTCGCTACATCCACCACTGTCGAAGACCTTCCGCATCTTTATGATCGTTATGTTAAGAAACAGATAGTGACTTATGTATCCAAAAGCACAAAAACTTATAACCCGACCTCAAATGGCAACCTTGAGGGGTTAACTCAATTGGCAAAACTGCTTTGACCTTTAGGGGTCCTCCCTATAGGTCACCGCTTCGAGTCCCTCTAAGGGAACATGGGATTTTCTTGGCTATTCTTTAGGACCCTATAAAATTAATCGATATACACGCAAGATGGTCCAAACACCCACGCTAACAATAATATGTCCACATATAATATAGTAATGGATGGTTAAAAAAGGGCAGCAAGGGCATCAACATTTTGCAGTTGTAGTTCATGTAACCATAATGTGATCGGATCCAAAAACTTTTATAGTTGGGGGCACACTTGAGGGTGTAGAAAAAAATTCAAAACCAAATAGTTCATCCAACCGAAACGGTTTTGGGTTTTCCTTTTCGGCTTAAACGGTTCAGTTAAGTTAACTGAATCGAATAAAAATAACTTATTCAGGTCGATTTTCAGTTGTCTTTTTACTAATTTGTTTAAACTGACACATTATACTACTATTATATATTTTTCTATATAGTTTAAACTTAAAGCAAATAAACAAATTACACGTTAAAACAAAATTTGCCTCGTTCAGTTAACATGTTGGCACTTGGTGGTCGATTTCAAGCTCCTGAGCAATGAACCAGTGCCTAGTGGTGAGTGGTCGTTTGTTTGGACTATGGAGTCAAAGATGAGAGTGTTGTTGTCGTTGTGCCTGTGTGTATAGGTGTAACGAGGTGAGTCAAGTAGTAGGTTTTTTGAGCTCGGCTCGAAAAAATTATACCAGGCTCGAGCTTGACCTAAGATCGAACAATTTTTCAATGTAAGGGCTCAAGCTGAAACTCAGATATTTTCTTTATTTACCGAGCTCGATGTTTGTTTGCGGGCTTGTACTCATGTTCGATTAACTCGTTTATTTACTCGAGGCGTATAATTTATATATTTTATATTTCGAATAAAAATATCAGTATGTTCTGCAAATGGACCAATTATAATCAGAATATCATGTTGGGGGCCCTTGTCTTGTTCTTGTTGGGGGCCTTCGCCTTATTCTTGTTGGGCGCACAACATGAAAATTTACTAAACAAATCTTTTTATAGCTTTTTAAAAAAAAAATTGTTGGGTTTGTTGGAGGCCTTAGGATCCCTACCACCATGCACTAGATCCGCCCCTGTTTGGATCTGAGTTGGTGATTTTAGAAGATATGTGGTATTTAACAGGAGAATTGTATGTTGCATAAGGATGGCATTTGAAGAACTATGAACCAACTTTGAAGTGTATAACATGGTTTCGAGGGAGTATGTGAATGTGTCGTTGACTTGCAACTAACACTGGCTATATCCAATTGGGTACAGGGTACCTATGGATGGATTAAAGTGGCAAGGCATGTATGATTTGAGATCTGTTTAGTTTATGCAACTTAATTGTATTTTGTCGAGTGATTGCGGTAGGCTTATGGTGGATAGGGAAGGGCGGTGTTGGTCTTAACGGAATGTTGTAGGTGTTTAACAAGGAAGAAATGTGAAATGACTACATATCTCGCAATCTCAGTCTGTTGGAAACTTTGATACAAGAAGAATACGACCATGGGGGAGGTTCAAATGGAACGATGGTGGTGGAGAAGAGAGGGAAGGGGTGGAAAGGAGATACATGTGGATGATTTTAAACGGATTTGAGTGAAAAAGATAAAAAGATCAAACCGTTCCTCAACTTAGCTAATTATGATTAACAATGTTAGGACAAGGGATTGATCTTGTAAAAAATGAAACCTCAAGGACATAATATGCAATTATTCCATTTTAGGGACAAAACCCATGATTTAATGTAAAAGATGAAACCTTTAACTTTTGGATAAATTTATAGATTCTTTTTCTTTCTGATTTATTTATAGATAGAAATTGCTTAGCAAAAAATGAACTTACGTAGGGGCATTTTACTAAATGGCTTATTCGGTAAGCGCTTATCAATAGGAGTCAACATTATGATTTATTTTGATACATAAGATTTTAGTAATATCAAAACATATCGAATGCGACAATTTAGTGGGTAAGTGCTTACCTGCGTAAGAGTCGTGATTCTCACTTACCGGACAAGACTCTCCATCATTCTCATCGCTCTTACCCGGTAAGATTCTTGACCCTTCTCATATTCATCCGAAGAGGAAATTTATCCGGTAAGTACTTACCAAATAAGTGTTTAGTAAACGACCCTGTAATGAAGACACCGGTCTGATTGACAAACTCAAACCCGGTTCCCAATTTACTCTGTTAACATACAATTTACGTCCGAGGGATTGATTACTTTAATTTATATGGCATTGGATACTGAATCTAGACTATAACATGTCTTAATGAGTATCTAGTTTTGCTCTTTTTCAATATTCGAGACAGGGACAGAACCAAGAACTTTTGGATACGGTGACACCCTATAAAACGGTTGCACCTTTCACGAACCTAATTTTTTTACCTTACCACGGAGGAACAATACGGTGACATGTGCCACCTAACCACCCCTCTAAGTCCGTCTACGATTCAAGACAATATATTTCATAAATCACATTTAATGACTTGAGTACACGATGATACAACTCAAAACGTTTATTAAACCCCTAAAAATCAATTCTAAAACAACCAAGTTTAGTACATGAAATAAAAATCAACGCGATTATTTGTTGCATACATGCTTATTTTTTCATTCGTTCATCGCCTCTTAAGCCTGAAAAGCATCCTTCGGGAAGCTCTTGGAGATTCCGGTGGGTGTTTTCATGGTGACCTTGTCAGCGGTTGGATTTTCAACAAAGATCTCGTTAATCGAGATCCATATTAACACCTCTTTCGACTTGACGCCAGTCAGCTTCTTGATCTTGCACTTCTCCAAGTACCCGGTGACCTCAGTGGCATACGACACTTGTTTGCTTACTTTCTCGAACTTGTGGACGATATCTTTCTTTTGTTTCACCCACATAAAACCAGTATCTTTCACGTAACCGAGTTCCTCGATATCCTCTGCAGGCAAGAGGCCATCGGGAAGATCGTATTCTCTGAGCAAAGACTTGGTCTTCTCTTTGCAAATGTCGTCTCCGGTGATGATTTCTGCACATGCTCTAATCTCGGGGGTGATCGGAGACATTTTTCCGGTGATCGGAGTTTAGAATTGGATGGGAGGTAAGTTTTTAAAGGTGTTTGAATGTGAATGTGTGATGGAGACAGGTGATGGAGTTGACTATTTATAGGTAGTTGGATAAATATGTGACCTTGATTTTTGGTTTAATTACCAAAATGCCACTTTCACACGTCTTATTTTTTTTTGTTCAACTTATCCTCTCACTGGTCTAACTTTTGTCGTCATATGAAATTTAAAATATTAAATAAACGTGGTTGAAATAATTAATATTTCTTATTATTATTATTATTATTATTATTATTATTATTATTATTATTATTTATTGGTTTTTTATTTATTTATTGGTTTTTTTTTATTTTTATTTTTAGTTCATAGAATTTGGCCTTTATATCCATGGAAGATGCCTTAGGACATGGTATTTTGGATCGTTATCAATATTATATTCAGTTTTCAATACATCCATTTACCAAACGTTTATTTGAGTAAGTTTTTATCAAGTTATTTTACTTTATCGGATGAATATGACAAGGGCTAATAATCTTACCCCGTAAGAGCGAATGCAAAAATCGAGAGTCTTACCCAGTAAGTGAGGACGATGACTTTTATCATGGTTAGCACTTACCGGAATAAATTATTGCATATGATTTAATGAATAAAATCTTACCCTATAAGTAAGCAATAATGTTGAATTTTATCGGTAAGTGTTTAGGTAAACGGCCCCAGGACTTGCACTGCATTTTCAAATGTTAGAGTAAATTACATTCCTAATCCCTGTGGTTTGCGGTTTGTTTGACTAAGGTCCTTAAAATACGTTTATTACACTCTCGGTACCTATGGGATGTAAAAACGCCACTGTGAGTTCCTCCCTCTAACGGAATAAAAAAAGATTTCGTTAACTCTGTTACAGCAGAAGGTATTTCCGTCTTTACCATCTCCTTCTGTTATCCTAATAAAATAATAATAACTTATTATTATTATTATTATTATTATTATTATTATTATTATTATTATTCTTAATGTAGTTCTGTCTTTTGTGAACCCCACCCACCTCACCCCCGAACCTCTTCTCCCCCCGACTAAGAGAAACCGCCGACATAATAACAAATCCAATTACCACAAACCTATTGATCTTTGTATTACCCACTCGACCCTTCAATACCAATCACCACCAACCATTCATAATAAAACCCATAACATTAAAAAAAATCATAAGAACTAGATTTATAATCAAATCTCAAGAACATATTAAAAAAATTTCAACATCAATAACATTCATAAGCTTTAAATTCATAAAACAACCTAAATCTAAATACAAATACAAATCCCCAAATCAATGTGTCAAGAACATACAACAAATCGTAAATGAAAACCCTAAAAAATTGTGAGACAAACTTAAATCTGGATCAAAACCCTAAAGTAGACTTGAATATGGATCAAAATCCTAAACTAGAATTGAATATGTGTTCATTGAAATAAAGGAGAGTAAGGAGTGAATCAAAATAGAGAGGAGAGACAAATTTGAAGTTGTGTTCGTCGAAATCCAAGCCACCAGACCTTTGATTCTTCTGTGTTCCTCATTGACTTTAACCAAATAGAGAGGGAGAGGCAGACGCTGATTCTTTTTGAAGACAAGTGGGGTAAGGGTGGTGGTAAACGATAAGGGTGGTTGTGTTGTTGTGAGTGTCCTACAGAGAAGACAGTGGTGTTAGGGGCAAGGCCGACAAGAAGGTGAGACCGGAAATAGGTTTCATGATTGGGGTGGGTTCAAGGTGTTTCATGGTGGGTCCATGGATATTAGTTTGGGGGGGGGGGTAGGAAGATGACTGGGTTATGCGTGTGTGTAAGAGAGAGAGAGAGAGAGAGAGAGAGAGTAGATAGAGGTGGCCGAAGGTGGTGATGGTTGGTTAGCAGGCGACGATGTTAATGGAGAGGAGGATATAGGTTCTCTTTATATATACATATAATAATATAACAATAAAATATAATAAAACAAAATAGGAAAAAGATAAGAAGGGTGTAAGAAACAAAATACCTCTTGGGCTAACTGAGCTAACATAGTTCCTTAGAGAGAGGGACTTACGTGCGTTTTTGCATACTACATGGACATGCAGGGTAACAAATGCATTTGAGGGACCGTAGTAGGGAAAACCAAGATATTACAGGGACCAGGAATGTAATTTACACTAGATATTATTTATAAATTAAACATATACCAATTTGTGTATCTCCGTGATATTGTATAATACATATCGATTCCAACACCGATAAATCAGATTGTCAATCCTATATAATGTTTTGTTCTATGCAGCGTTCCCAACAATGCTAAATTTATGGTTTTCTTTGTTCTTAGTTTTTAAAACCGATTTATGCATCTATAGTGTGTACTTGTGCGATGTTACGAGATATAAAAACTTACTACAAAGAAATAACATAATAAAGAAAGAAGTTGAACACAAAAAAAAGGATGTAAAAATATAATTTAATATAATACGAAATATATTGGATCAGGTTGAATTTTTACTATAAATTTGTGGTCTATAAAAATAGACGAGGGAAAGGAACCATTAATATAAACTATATCGAGTCCTCATCCTCTTATCTTGAATTGACAATTGATTTTCAGTAAAATGGATACAGATGATGTAATTGATCTGATTGTGTAGCTTAGTTATGTATCTGATAATCATTTTTTACTATGTAAACAAAAAAAAATACGTAATCACAGTGAAATGAAGTTCAATATTCCAAATCCTGCAACAACCCGTTAATTAACAAAATATGGCATCTTTCCTTAATTGATAGATTACTTGGATTTCAGGAGAACTCTCATCCTCCTATTTATCTATCTATCTATCTATCATGCATGATGCATAAGCGAATTCACCAACAGAGCGGGAAACATGTCAAATCCGTCAACCAAGCATAATTTGAGTATCGATATTATTCTTATTTGAACATCCGCCCTCTCTTGTAAAGTGTTGGTCACCTGAGATCTTTCCATAAGCTCTCAATAGATTAATCCACTTCCAACTTGATCATGAATTCAAAAGTCAACTTCAATAAAAATAAAGAGTAAACTACAATTTCAGTCCCTAGGGTTTACATGAATATCTGAAAGTGGTCTCTAAACTTTAACAACTACAATTATCAGCCCTACTATTTACATTTTGCTTTGAAAATCGTTCCTCGACTTAACTTCGTTAAATTTTTTCCATTAAGTCAAGGGTAATTTAGTCCTTTTATCTTTTATTTGTCCTTTCCGATTATCTTACTCAAATAAAAATCACGGGTCCCAAGTTGTACATTTCATTTTGCTTTTATCTCTCTCTCTCTCTCTCTCTCTATATATATATATATATATATATAATCACAAACACATATATAATATACATAATCACACATTCGTTATATCTACATATATGCATACATATATATAATCAAACATAAACACACCCTAAAACCCTCACCTTTCTCATCAATATGGATGACCATTAGCTTACTTTTCTCCTTGCACACGAACATACTGTAACGTCGTTGTAACACACATGCACACACACTCTAACAGCCTCCTTCGAACTACCTTCTACCACCGAGCACCACCATTCTTATATTCTAATATTCTCCCTCCATAGTTCCAGCAACCTTTGAACCACCGTGATCCTTCTTTCTATCGCTCTATTCTCCATATATACGCATACAGACACACCGGGACCAGCTCAAGTGAACATTTTACACCATCTCCAGTGGTCTTTTATGGGGCGTCTTTTTAGCACCCTCCACTCCAATGGTCTTCTCTGGCGCACCTTTATTCTCCAACCCAACCTCCAGACTTGCAACACACATACACACATAGAACAAACATTGCACATACACATACATACACACACATACAACAGACACTGTGCAGTGTATACACACACACATATATACATACACACACATTGTATGCACATAAAGTCCAAAATACATCACCGTTGATCTATCTCTATAGATTTACACACATATACACACATAGAGCCATAAAACATCACCATTGATCTCTCTCTCTCTATAGATTATCTATGTGTATGTTGTGTATTGTTGTGGGAGAATGGTGGCTGGAGGTGGGGGTTGGTCACAGTGAGCGTGAGGGTGGTGGCTGGAGGTGAGGGATGCTCATGGTGAAAATCAAGAAAAAGATGAAAGTACCCCTCACTTAACTAAGTTTTTTAACGGTGTTAAGTTCAATGGACGATTTTCAAAGCAAAATGTAAATAGTAATGACGATAATTGTAGTTACTGAAGTCTAAGGACCACTTTCAAATATTCGTGTAAACCACAGGGACCAAAATTGTAGTTTATTCAAAAATAAAATGAACACAACAAATAAGAACCATGCTAGTAGAACTATATATCATTCCAAAGTTTGAGGACAAGTTGTTAAAAGTTCATATCATCAGTTAAATGTTTGAGATACAATTTGAAGTTATTCCATGAAGGAGGTTGTTGATTCTAACCCCTTTTAGTGATTTGATGATGATCACCCTATATACTTCGTGTTAAAACCCCGTGTTAAGTTCTATCTAAAAGCATAGTAGCGACCGAGTCTGTTTAGTGTTCACTGAGTATTTAAATATGGTTTAGAACTTAAGTTTTCTTAGACAAGGCTCACATTAAAAGAAACTTCAACAATGTCGAAGAAGTGTTGAAGATAAAAATAGAGACGTTGGTGATCTGAACCGGCATTAAGTGATGACAACATATCTAAAGAAATGTGAAGCTTTACTCAAGTAATCAGCCACATCTGAAGAAGTCTTCATTGACCTCACCCTAGCTGATTTAGAATCTTGCTTATCAATTTTTTTTTTTCTTATCCTCACTTGCACGAATCAACTCCCCCATGCTTCAATCTGACTTGTGGTACAATATGGTCTGCTTTACTGTTCTACACACGTCCAACAACTCCCTTGAAGTTTGTTCATGAACGGCAAAGACTACTTTTGCTTTTGACAAAGAGTACCCGCGAGCCACTCTACTCATGACACATGGATTGTACTTGATATGTGCATTCAATGCACAAAGTATAAATAGAT